CCTGGGTAACAAGAGCGAAACTCCGTCTCAAAAAAAAAAAAAAAAAAAAAAAGAAAAAGAAAAAGAAAAAGCTCTTCTAAAATGACTTGGCTGGGGCAGGCGGGAGTGCGAAAGGTTCCCGGCCTAGGCACAGTGTGGGGGCCACCTGCCTCCTCCGAGGCCTGTGGGGCGGGGACAGCACCAGCTCCTAGGGCCTCGGGGCCAGCAGCGGACCCCAGGATGGCCCAAGCCTGGCGCTGGGCAGAACGCTTCGGTCAGGGCCATATCTGGCCCTCTGGGGAAGGCAGTGAGGACATCCCGCAGAAATGTGGGTTTCAGGGCTGGTCACAGGGTACCCTCAGAGGCCCTCGGCTTAGTTGGCCTTTTTCAGGAAGATCTCGCTCAGAATCACCCACACAGGGGAGTCCGTCTGGATGGAAAGGCGCAGAGCTTCCAGAGGGCCGAAGGCTGGGTCCACCTCTCCGTCTGCCACTCCCCTGTAGAAGGAGGCGATCTGGAGGTAGCCGTCGGGGCTCCGAGGGTACTGGAGGGTGGCAGCGCAGCCTTCCTGCAGGGCCTCCTTCTCCCACTGAGGGTTATCAAAAGGCAGCAGCTCTACAGGCATGTTGAAGAGCTTGTCCTCTGGATGCTCAGTGTTCCCACTGCGGAAGGAAAACCGCTCCAGTTGCAGGGGCTGGAAGAAGCGGAAGCGGATGAAGTCCCCAGCGGCTGCGATGAAGGCCCAGAAGTCCTGGCGCAGGTAGGCTTTCTCCAGGGTGAAGTGCTGGTATGCCTTCAGGCTTGTGCTCACCTCTGCTGGTGGGTTCACATGCTCTTTCCGCAGTGCCTGCTTTCCAAAGTCCTTGTCCTTCAGTTTCTGGATCTTGCCAGCCAGTGAGGAGTGAGTACCCACGTGCTGGAAGAGGGTCGGCTTGAAGCGGATTCGCAGGTTGGCCTTCTGCTGGTCACAGAGTTTCCCATCCTTCTCGGGGCTGCAGACTTTCACCCACAGAATATGGTCTAGGAGACAGACGATGGCTTGTCCCGGTAGAACACGAGGATGAATTCTACAATCAGGCTCAGCTCTAGCGACTTGAACATCTTCCCAATGAAGCCCGGCTGGGAGAACTCCAGGATCATCCAGTCCTCTGAAGGCTGCTGCAGTGCGAAGTTCATGGTGTTCAGATAGTTGGGCTTGGACACAACTTCGTCCTCCAGCTGCACATAGTAGATGCCTTTGGACTGCGCATACATCATGGGGAAGCAGTAATTGAGGTTCTGTTTAGTCCTCCACCTGACTTGCCTTGGGGTCCCCAAAGGACTCTAGGAGGTGGGAGAAGTCAGGGTAGAAGTGGGGAGAGGGTGAGATGACCGCAGGAGCCCAGAATGCATCTTGGTGGGGAACAAAGCCTTGATGTTTTCTGTCACTGCTGAAGTGTACTGTGGGTCAGTCTCAGTAGTCAGCATTACAATGGCTGAGTCTTCCTCCTGTGGGCTCAGCTTGGAGATGAGCGAGTGCAGTGTCAGCCAGGTAGGAGTGCACCTCTCGCTCGGGATGCCCATCACCACCGACACTCTGGTGCAGCCCTGGCCCACGCGCACGGCGGGCTGCAGACTGCTCTCCTCGGCCAGCAAGTATGGTAGGTGGTGGAAGACGGTGGGCAGGTGTAGCACCTGCAGGTGCGAGCCGTTCCCAGGCTTCAATAGGCGTTCTCTGTTAGGCGGCCCCAGGTGCGATTGCCCTCTCTCTCCCAGCGCCTGCCTCTCGGAATGGCCCTCGTGATCTCATCCAGCACCAGGTTGAGCTCCTTGGAGCCCTTGAGGCTCTCCTGCTCAGCTGCGTGCACTGGTCCCGCAGCGCTAGGAATTCCCGCTGGTAAAAGTCCACAACATCGCATTTCTTGCCGCTGAGCACCACATACCAGGACAGCGAGAGGAAGGTGCACAGGCAGAAGAGCAGCAGCATCAGGAAGGTGCAATTGCGGAGCCCCATCTCCTCTGGTGAGCGGCGGGCGCCCGCGGGGCCGAGGCCGCATGGCCCCTGGAATGGGGCCTGGGCGCAGGGGCCGAGAAGGCGGTGGTGGCCCAGCGGCCGCGGCCCCGGCCCCGGCCCCGGGGCAGCGAGGGGCGGGGATGCGGTCAGGCCGGGATAGGGACTGGGCCGGGGAGCGGGGAACATTGGCGGCTCCTGCCCCCTTCCAGTTTTATGAAATTCAACCCCCTACTTCTACCCCCATATCTGTGTGCAAGAATGTTCACACACACACACACACACACACACACACACACACACGCGCGCACACACACATTTCTGCAATATTCCATCTGCCTAGGCCAGGAGATTGTCATGACAAACTAAATGCAATAACTATTTCCTGACCAAACCTGTTATTCAACATCTCTATGATTTGGGATGTTGAATAACAGGTTTGGTCAGGAATAGTTTCTGATTTCACACTGATGAGGGTCACATTGAGGTCTCAACAGAAGTAATAATTACAAAGCATCCTCATCTATGTGAAAGGGTACGATATTCAGATATATCCAGCCCTTTGAGATGCTCTGCTGGAAGGTGGTTGAGGTGCAAAGTACTATTGACCCATGGTCATCTTGGTCCATGGTCATCAATAATGATACCTTGTACTTCTTTCGTGTTTGTGCTAAGGGTGGTTTCAAAAGCTGGAAGGAGCTTATCAATTTCTAGATATAGAAATCTCCCTTTCACAATGTATATGTGGGAGTATGTGTATGCTATGAAAATATATACACATACACATAAATATATACACACATATCTACATATATATTTATAGTATACTGATTAAAAGATAAATTCTTAATGATCCATGAAAAGGGAATGGCAGGCCAGGTGTAGTGGCTCACACTAGTAATTCCAGCACAGCGGGAGGTTGAGGGGGGAGGATCACTTGAGCCCAGGAGTTTGAAACTGGCCTGGGAAACATGGTGAGACCCCGTCTCTACAACAAATATAAAAATTAGATGGGCATGAGGCTTGTATCTAGGGTGCTAGCTACTCAGGAGGCTGAGGCGGAAGGATGACTTAAGCCAGGAAGGCAGAAGTTGCAGTGAGCCAAGGTCACACCACTGTGCTTCAGCCTGAATGACAAAGCAGTAGCTTGCCTCAAAAAAAAAAAAAAAAAAAAAAAAAGGAAAAATTGGTATCCCAGAAAACTTTAAAATATCTATATATTTACAAATGTATATAATCATAGTATATTAATCAAAAAGTAAATTCTTAATACTTCATGGCAAGCAAACAACAGGCCACAGATGGTGGCTCATGTTTGTAATCTCAGCACATTAAGAGGCCCAGGCAAGAGGATTGCTTGTGCCCACAAGTTTAAGACCAGCCTAAGCAACAGAGTGAGAACCAACCTCTCAAAATCGGAAATTAGCCAGGGATGGTGGCAGATGCCTGTAGTCTACACTACTCAAGATGCTGACTTGGGAAAATCAGTGGAGGTATGATCACATGGCGACACTCCAGCCTGGGGGACAGAGCAAGACCCTAAGGAAAACAAAAAAGTTAACTGTAAAAAATATAAAAAAAGGAGACATGAAATGAGAAGCTACCATGTCCAGGGCAAAGACAAACAGCCCAACCAGAGGCCCATTCCCCTCTGAACCCAAGAAAAACCATGAGACACTAAATAAAAGAGACATCATTGTAAAAAGACACAGGCAAAATTTACTACAAATCTGTCAAAAATACACTCTCAAGGTTAAAAGTAGAGACAGGTGTTTTCCCAAGGCACACTGCAGGGAAGCTTTGGGCTTTCTGATGCTGTTGACAATCAAAGACCTATAGAGCTGGATCCAGAAGAGGCCACTGTGAGGCAAGTGCAGGGCAGAAAAAACTACCATGAGGCAGAAGATGAGCCTGGAGAGGCCATGGTGAGGCACAGGCTTGTATAAGAAAGGCTGCTGTGAAGAAAAAGCTGAATCTTGAGAGGCAGACGTGACACAGAGGATGGGGCTGAAGAGGCCACTGTGAGGCAAATGGAAGGCCTGCCAAAATGGCTGAAAAACAGGTAGTAATGAGGCCAGAAAAGGCCCATAGAGGGAATAGCTGTGCTGAAGAGGATGTGGTCAGGCAGGAGCTGGGTTTGTCTGGGCCGCCGGTGGCCGAAGGAAGGCCTTGGAAACCCAACTTGGAAAAAACTAAAGTCTACAGAGGCGGCTGGGAGCTGGGCAGGAGCTGGACAAATGTGGTTGTTGTGAGGCAGGAGTTGATCCTGTAGACCCAGCGAGGAAGAAGAGCTGGGCCTGGGGAGGCCGCCATGAGGGAGGCAGAAGCCGAGCCTGGAGAGGCTGGAAGGGAGGAAGGAGCTGGGCCTGGAAGGGCCCACGTCAGAAAGTTTTGTGCCCATAGATGCCTCTGGGAGGGCAGGAGCTGGGCCTGGAGAGGCTGACTTCAGGGCCATTTAGGCCTGCCGAGGCCACTGGGAGGAGGCCGGAGCTGGGCTGAGAGAAACTGACTTGAGGAAGTTTGGGGCCTAGAGATGCCATCGGAGGGCAGGAGCTGGATCTACCTGAGCTTCCAGGAGGCTGAAGCTGGGCCTAGAAAGCCTGACTTGAGGAAGGCTGTGGCCTACAGAGGCTGCCAGGAGCTGGGCAGGAGCTGGGCAGGAGCTGGGCCAAATGTGCTTGTAAGACAGGAGGTGGGCCTGTAGACGCAGCCAGGAGGAAGAGCTGGGCCCAGAGAGGCTCACTTGGAAATGTTCTGGGCCTGGAGAGGATACCAGAAAGCCAATGCTGGGCCTGGAAAGGCCACCAGGAGGCACCAGCTTGACCTAAAGAGGCCACTGGGAGGCCACAGCTGGGCCTGTACATACGGGCTGCCAAAAAGGCAGGAGCTGAGCCTGAGAGAGGCCACAGTGAGGCCAAGAGCTGGGCCTGGAGGGTCCACTGAGAGGCAGAGGCTGGGCCTGGAGGGGCCTACCACAGACAGGAGCTGGGCCTGGAGAGGCCACCAGGAAGCAGGAGCTGGCCCGGGAGAGTCCGTCAGAGGCATGAGCTGGGCTTATACAGCTGGGCCAGTGTAAGGGTGGATGGGCCTACACTAGAGGCCAGCGTGAGGCCAGCGCTGGGCCTGGAGAGGCTACAGAGGCATGAGCTGGACCTCAAAGGGCCAATGTGAGGGAAGAGCTGGACCTGTGGATGCAGCCAGGAGGCAGGCGGGAACTTGGCCTGGGGAAGCCACCGCCAGGCAACAGCTGATCCTGGGGAGGCTGCAGGGAAGCCAGAACTGGGCCTGGAGAGGCCACTGTCAGGCAGGAGCTGGGCCTGTCAAGGCCACCAGGAGGCAAAAGGTAGGCCTGGAAAGCTCCACTAGAGGAAGCTTTGGGCCTTCAAAGGCAAGGCCACCAGGAGCTGGCCAGGGGCAGAATCAAAAGACGCTGTGGCGAGGCAGGACTTGGGCCTGTAGATGTGGCCAGGAGGAACAGCTGGGTCTGGAGAGGTCGCCATGAGGGAGGCAGAGGCTGAACCTGGAGAGGCCGAGGGGAGGCAGGAGCTGGGCCTGGAGAGGCTGACTTCAGGGCCATTTGGGCCTGCCGTGGCCACCGGGAGTGGCCACAGCAGCCGCTGGTGGTCCCGGTCACTGACTAGGGCCTGGTGGCCGAGGTCGCTCTGCGCGGTAGCTGGAACCGGGGACTTCTCGCCAGCGGTGACCACAACAACACGGAGGCATCTCTTGTGCTGAAACTGACCAGAGGGCAAAGTGTTGGAGACAGTTGGTGTGTCTGAGGTGCCAAAACAGAATGGAAACTATGAGACCAGGCAGCTTTTCCTTCATAGCGTTTTTGGCTACCAAGGTGTTGTCCTGTTTCCCTGGCAGGCCAGACTGTATGACCAGGATGTGGCTTCTGCAGCTCCAGAAAAAGCAGAGAACACTGCTGGCCATGGCTCTAAGGAGGTAAAAGGCAAAAGTCACACTTACTGTCAGGTGCTGATTGATGCCCGTGACTGCCTACATATATCTCAGCGATCTCAGACAGAAGCTGTGGCCTTCTTGGCTAGCCATGATGACAGCTGTGCCCTCTATGTCATCCCAGGCCTGGACTATGTCAGCCATGAAGACATCCTCCCCTACACCTCCATTGATCAGGTTCCCATCCAACATGAGCTCTTTGAAAGATGTCTTCTGTACAACCAGACAGAAGCACCCCGTTCTGTGGCTTGGGAGACGTTAAGGGCCTGGGAAGAGAAGAATCAACCTGGCTGGAGCTCTTTGATGTTCACCGGGAAACAACTGAGAACATACGTGTCACTGTCATCCCCTTCTACATGGGCGTGAGGGAAGCCCAGAATTTCCATGTGTTCTGGTGGCTCTGCTGTATCCATTTGGAGAACCTTGACAGTGACATGGTACAGCTCCGGGAGTCACACTGGAGGATATTCAGTCTCTCCTGCACCTTGGAGACAGTGCAAGGCCGAGGGGTAGTGGGCAGGGAACTGGTGTCATCCAAGAAACAGCCTGCATTCCAGTATAGCAGCCACATCTTGCTGCAGGCTTCTAGTGGGCACATGTGGGGCACATTTCGCTGCGAAAGACCTGATGGCTCCCACTTTGATGTTTGGATCCCTCCCTTCTCCCTGGAAAGCAATAAAGATGGGAAGACACCAACCTCAGGCCTTCACTGGTAGGCCAGCTGAGGCCCCACGTGGCCAGGCTCGGTCACCAGGAAGAACACCTCTCATCCCACAATTGCTGCAGAACTCTTCTCCCTCCCCATCACAGGCCACAGTGGGTCTCTTAATTTGATTGTGGGGTTCTTTTTTGGAGGAGGGGTGGTATAACTTTTCTTCAGACCACCCATGTGGGACTCCTCCAAGGCTGTCCTTCTCATAAGCTTCCTCATGGCCTACACCATGTTCCAATAAGCCTCTCCACCAAGGAACTGTGTTCAGCTGCCACCGGCCTGGAGGACTTTCCTGGCCTGTCACATGAGGTTTGATCAGTAAACCACTATGCACTTGACCACCCTTGCCATTTCTGCTTCTGGAGTCTCGGGCTCCCCCTTCTGACCCAGTGGGCAACCTTGATTGCTTTCTCTGCTGCCCTTTCAGGGAACTGCCCCCCTAATAGGGTATGTGCCTATTTCCCTCTCAGCCTGGAGGCTGGCTGGACATCTCGCAGGGTCACTGTGCCTCTCAGCTAATGGGGGTGGGGGGCTGGGGCGTTGGACTGGACTCTTGCTCACTTTATCTTCTGCCAAATGCAGAGAGGGAAGCCAGTGTCAGGGTTGCAGTGGCCTGGCTCTTAGCACTGACCAACCATTATCATCTTTGGCTTCCCTGGGCCCAGGAGAGGAGTGAGTCAAGCCAGTCAGGTTTCCTGGAGCAAGGGGTGTGCCAGCCCTGAGTATGACTCTGCCAAGCATCCAGATCACAAAGGCAGGAATGTGGCTGGAGGAGCAGCTTTAGGTATGGGTGATGACTAAGCCAAGGACTTCCTGAGCCTCTCTCAGATGTCCGAGAGCCAGAGAAAGATCGTGCTGCACCTTGCCCCAATTCTTAGGATTTCTTCTCTGCCACTGCAGTGATTGTTAGAGGTCGTTTTCTTGACAATATTAAATCACAGTTCCAGCCCTTAAAAAAAAAAAAAAAAAAAAAATCCTGACCTCAAATTCCTGACCTCAAGTGATCCACCTGCCTCAGCCTCCCAAAGATCTGGGGTTACAGGTGTGAGACACTGAGCATGGCTAGAAATCAGCCCTTTTGAAAGACTCACTCCCCACCTGGTATCAGCCAACTGTCTGATGCCCCTCTCCCCATAACTGGTAGAAGGTGTCCAGGTTCTTGGCATCTTAAACAAATAATTGGACAAAATGCACAAACAAAGCGAAAGCAAAAGCAGGGATTTATTAAGAACAAAAGTACACTCCTCAGAGGGGGAGCAGGCTCCAGCACAGAGGAGGCTCAAGAGCCCCACATACAGAATTCTTGGGGGTTTCAATTCTTTAGAGGTTTCCCATTGGTTACTTGTCAAATATTCTATGTAAATGAACAGAATGAAGCCACAGAATCATTTACTCAGAATGCGCCCTATTGTAAATGGAGAGGACGTTACTTGGTGTGTGATCTATGTAAACAGAGGAAGAATGTGAACTTACAAAGTGTAAATGTCATGAATGGAGAGGATGAAGTGAAGTTACAAAGTCATTCACATTCCTGTCATTGCTGAGGTGCTTTCATTTAGTTCATGTTCCCTTAGTTCGAGGAAGTCAGCGTGGATCGGCCTTGTGTTCCCTGCCTTCATGCCCCATTTTTCTGCCTTACCCCACTGCCTTGCTTTTGGCATGAATAACCAGGATTCCTTCCTGTTAAGAGACCACTGCCATAAACTGGTTCTGGCCAGTGTAGGAGGCTGTGCAGTGAGGCTTTTCATGTCCTCTGCTTCACCTTCTGATGCCAGAGGCTTGAAAACTCCACCCTCAGATCATGCTAATGTCACCATTTTAAAAACATGTGTCCCATGGAGAGGGATGAAGCTCCAACTGTGCATAGTACATCTCTCCTTTCATAAATATTCATGATCCCTCCCATGGCTTATTAAATGTGTATATTTGGCCACTCTACTTGGCATAAATTTCTATTCCCTTTGCCCCTCCCCTGAGGACTCTCTTTGTGGCTTCTGACAAGAGGCTACGCTTCTCAGCTTGTCAGAATGGCCACGCTGCAGACTGCAACCCCTTATGAGAAATAATGTCATCCTTTCCAGTGAGAACATTGTTATTTTTTGGTCAAAAATATTCAAATCTAACAGATTACAATGATACCTGAGAGATAATGTTGCCTCATAATACTTATGAAAAGATCTTTCATTAAACAAACTGCAATTTGCATGTCTCTATTTTAAAAATCAGTGTCACGTTATCATAACTTTTATACTTTTTTACTCATTCTTATACACGTGATTCCACTTGCCAACAAAATGATAAAGTTGTGAGAGGTGTAACTTAATAACAGGATCAATTTCTGTTCTTTTCCCACCCCAATGAGAAAATAATGTAAGAAGTTGGGCCATATGAGAAATAGAATGTGATAAATTGGACAATATCTTTCCTTCATCTGCTCTGTTAGAATCCACAGCACGGTACTAACTGCCTTTTAAAAAAGATGTCTGCAATATAATTTGTTTAATTGTTACAGTTTTATCAATACAAGTTTATCAATAGATACAGTTCTCTGGAAATAGTATCTGCTTCCTTAGGTATTTGCTACAAAAGCTATCATTACTGGGAGTGGTTACTAAAAAATGCTATTGATAAGAATATCTAATACATAAAACAATCACTGCATTATCAAGTGCTTTGTATACATTAATTTGTTTAATCTTCACAATATAAACTAGTATCCTCATTATACAGATTTTAAAAAGTTGAGGCTTAAAAAGGTTAAATAAGTTGTTCTGAATCACATGGCTTGTACGTGGAAGAACCTCCAGAGTCTAAGCCACTCCTTTGAGTGGCCATTGGATGTTCATGGACCTCTGGCCCACAGTTCTGCAGTTAGGATTCTATTGTGTGGCTCATACTTGGAGCATTGCATTGACTGTATTACAGTGGATTTTTCTGAATCAGCAAATTTCAACAAAGCAGTTAGATATTTCCCCTTCAAATTGTAGCCTAGTCTACCTCATTCAGCCCCTGTTGCTGTGATAACAAATTATCTGGGAGGCTCAAGGGGCAAATTTCTTTCTTACCTCTTCCAATGTGTGGTGGCTGTCATCATTCCTTGGCTTGTAACCATATCTCTTTCTATCCTGTCTTCACATTGCCTTCTCTGTATCTGTCTTCTCCATGTGTCTATTTTGTAAGGATCCTTGTGATTGCACTTAGAATCTACTTAGATAATCCAGGATGATCTCCTCTCCATCCTTAATTTAATCATATCTTTTGCTATGCAAAGTAATATTCATTCTTTTGCTATGTGAGGGATCCAGGGACTAGGAGATGGACATGCCATTTGGGGCCTCCATTCAATCCACTACGTCTACCAAATGCAGAAATGATTTCTCTTTAAATTCACAGTTGTGTATAATAAATTACCTACCTATTACACATTTGAGGCAGTAAAATATATAAGTTTTGTGCATAATAAATTACCGATTCTGAGGACTGCCTAGTTAGTCTGGGCCACAGTTTTAGAATGAACCTACTCTTTGCAGACATAAAATCTTTTAGGTTTTCATATACAGTGTATTGTACAGTTCTCTGATGTATACATAGTTGCTTCTCTCTCAAAAAACATGAAGCATCTAAGTAAAAAGTGTTCCTAAGAGTAAACCAGTTGCCCAACTTTACAAATGAGACAACCAAATCACATGACTATGATAACAGAGTAGCTATAGGATTCAAGAGATGTGACTCCCACTCCTGAGCTTTTCCTGATATATATTTTCTTTCCTTTTATCTAATGCACCAAAGGTGTTATTCATTTGTTTCTTCAATCAACACATATTTGTTCAGAGCCCACGAAATATTGGGTGCTATATTATGATGATCTAGAGTATATAAAAATTATAAAATGTTTCACTATTGAAAAATTATTGGTTATTTGTCAGCTTATATTCCAGTGCTCACTGCTTTAAGAAATCCTATGCTTCTGTTGGTCAATTTCTTAAGGAGAAAGAAAAGTGGAAAACCCCAGTAGAGGTTTTCTTGCTCCTCTAGGTTTTCTCCTTTCTCTCTGTATTAGGGGCAAGACCTTTTTCCTACTCTGAAAACCCCGAAGCTAAATGCCATTTCCTTTCATGGCTCATCACCTGCCTACCTGACTCTAGGAAGCTCCAGAGACAGACGTGTGCTCTGCCTTCACACAGTAAGCTTCACATCAACTCACTGCCACTGGAATGAGGGGCTTGAATTGTCCTTTACCCAGAAGTCAGAAGAATTTGTTCAGAGTCATCTGTACTTTGTTCTTGGCTCCACTTGAAATTTATCCTCCATGTTGGAAGATGGCGGCTGGCCAATCAGAACAGGAGAATGTCATCGGGGCTGTTATCAACAGGCCATCTGGATTGGAAATGATGTAATGATTGGGCCTAGTTAGCAAAAGATTGGCCAGTTGATCTATGAAGGCCAGGCAAGTTTCCTATAGGTATCAGCTTAATAATTTATTGAAGTAAAATTTTATTTCAATAAATAAACATAGGCAAGAACCACCTCTCAGGTTTGCTGGCTGAGATGGCAATACATGATCCAACTTGCTATGTTAGGTGCTTAATAAGGATTACTGTTCCAGAAGCAGGGTAAAAGTACATATCAACAAATATGTGCCAAATACCATGTTGTAACTAAACGTTTACAGGTCCGCCTCCTCCTTTAGACGCTACAGTTCTTAGGGACATAAGCTGTGTATTTCCCCTATTGGTTTCCTTTGTACCTAACATAGGACCAGGCCCACAGGAAGCACTCAGTAAATGTTTATCTTTGTTAAATTCAGTCCATCTGTACTGTGGGGGCAGATATATGACAGGTTTCTTTCCCATGGATCGTTTATTCTGTTTCCACTGAAGGAAATGTTAGTCTTGGCCTGAATATTTTCTTTTCATCAGAATACTATTAAAGTAATAGAAGAATATGCCATATGAAATGTAGTTATTTAGAACTGAAAAGCTTACTCATTCTAATTCTTATATATGTCATATAGTTTGGCCTAGCTGCTTGTAATATTATGGCTCTTCCAAAAAAGAAATAGAAAGAGTGTATGCACATACCTGCATGCTGTATGTGTATGTGTGCATACATGGCTGTGTGTAGACATGGTGTGTGTGTGCACACATGTATGGTGTGTATGTGAGCACAAAGAAATATAGCAAATTCATATGGATTTGTAAAAGACTTCCTAAGAAAATCCATCTTTAGTTACTTTTCCATTTTTTTCCTGTATGAAGGAGCACCAGGATGAATCATCTGCAGTGGCTGAGGACTATTGATCACGTCTGGCAGGAAGGACATGATACCACCCATGTGAGTTCTTTTGA